ATCTCCGCCCAGCATTTTGACCGTCGTGGAGGCAGCTCTGATGATGACGAAGCCCTAGACTTATCTCTTATTAGGTGTTATTTAATAGTGTCTTATATCCTACACCGTATAATATCTTTTATTTCACTTTGCTAATATCCTTTTCTTTCACTTTGCAACAAGAGAAAGATGGATGCGAAAAAATCACACATATTTCTGTGTTCTCGTGATCACTGTATTAGATTCTGTTTATCACTGAATAAATTATTTTTTTTACTTGATTTGAATATTTGTTTATCATATTATATTTTGCTTATGTGTGTACTGAAATCGATTGGAGCTGACCATATTTATGGTTCTTGTGATGGCTTTCTGTAGGTCAAACAAAGTCAGGCTTATTGACCAAGAACAAAATATGGTTTGTTCCTTAGAGAATGAGTATGGTATACTCCGTATTATATAATTATGTGCTCTCTTTGCCTGGATTTAATCGTACATTTTCCTGTCTTTGAGCGTTCGAAGAAATTGAATGTCCACCTTTACACACACACACATAGCATTAATGACATCAATAAATGACAAATTCATTTAAAGAGCTTATTTGATATTTTACACCTTACAATTGAGATTGTCTAAAAGGCGAATAGTTGAATCCGGATGGAGGGAGTATATAATTTTCCAAGTGGACATTTAAAGTTCGAGTCAATTTTGATTTTCTATTCTTTTCTGATGTAGGTTGGCATTGTTTCAAAGAGTGAAGCTCTACAAAGAGCTGAAGACTCTGAACTTGATTTGGTATGTTCCTACCTCTGTTTTCTTGAACGTCAAAGTTTTACTTTTCAATTTGTAGTTTATGAAATAGAAATCTAGCTTAGGTATGCACTTTGCAATTGTTGTAACCCTTGAATCTGAAATATCTATAGATGATTAATGTGAGAGCTTATTAGGAATTTGATTGGTATAAGAATGTTTAGGGTTAGAAGGTTGGAGCATGCTCCAGTGTTCATCTCTGCAACTTTTATAAACAAGCCACGAAACTGTTATAAATATGTTGCAAGCTCACAATTGTAGTTTTAGTACTTCAAGGGTCGTACATGTAGATGGGTGAATTCCATTTCTAAGTCCTATTAAATTAATGTTAGATTTTGATTACAAAAAGCACAAGTTATAAGAATTTTTAACCAAATATACTTGAATCTGTAATATAAAAATAAGATCTTGCAAGGTATTACAATTTCTATGAATGATGGTAGAACACGATATCCCAATCTGTGTACAGCATAGACCGATTGACATGAAAACAAAACTAAGCTGTTATACCCGAACCGGGGGTCTAAACGAGTTGTTATTTTGAGAAGGAATTAAGGGGTGATGCAGCTTTAGATTGAGAGTTCTGGGACACTCAATAATCGATTATGGGGTTTGACAATCGATTATGTAGTGATGCTGCAAAATGAAGGAACTTCAGGGATGCCGGATAGTCGATTGACACAAGTGTGATAATCGATTATTTGGTTGTATGGCCTAGACGACGAGAATTCAGAGACAGTCAACTATCAAAGTTGATAATCGATTATTGGGCTTCGCTGATTATTCTAGGAGTGTTCTGAAGGGTTAGATAATCGATTATTGATGTGTGATAATCGATTATCAAGGTAATCAGGATCCGAAATCTGGGCAGATAATAGTGGTGTTTGTGTGGGGAATGGCTGGGATTAATATGGGAATGATGAAGGAGTTCTTTTGGGTCTTTTTAATGGAAGAAAAGAGTAAGATTATGAGGAGAAATGGGGAGATAAGAAATGGAAGAAAAATCAGGGATGGATATACCAAGTTGGTGTTTAAGAGATATTACACACTCTTAGCCTCACTTGGGGTTTGAATCTAGAATTTAATTAAGATATGACACACTTAATCAAATATCTAGAACCTAAAACTCACACTTAAGATAACCACTCTTAAATAACATCACACTATTTTAATAATACTCAAAGAGTAAAAGATTTATAATATTCAAAAGATATGTTACATTTGGCCATAGGGCCTGATTTATATAGGCAGGGGGAAGGGGGAAATAATACACAATGCATTGAATGTAGACATTAGGAAACTTCCTAGCAACATCCACTTCCAAAGTATGGGGTAACACCCATTGAATCATGTCTCCAAAGTGGAATAAAATTCAGGGATGGGGCTGGGGTTTGTGGGGGTTTTGAGGTTTGGTTTGTAGTGGTTGTTTCCTGGTTTTTAAGGCTATTATTTGGGTAAAAATGAGGGGTTGTGTTTGGCCAATAAAAGGGGACAGGGCTGGGCAATATTAGGGGTGGTTTTGGACATATGGGTTTGGGTTATTGTGAGGAAAAAAATGGGCAGGAGTGAATGGCTAGTGGTGGGTCAGGTTTTTGGCCTTTTGTGGGTGTTTATGTTGGGATTGTGAGATTTAATTGGCCAGGAAATAAAGGAAGGAGAGAGGGTTTTATTTGTTTATTGGAAAGGCTTAAAAGAAGGAAAATAACAACAAACAAAAGGTTTTATTTTACACACTCTTATTTTCGGCCCTGGGCTAAAATAAGAGTAGGAAGAACTTTATTTTGGATATCAAAAGGAAATAAAATACTTTTGGATATTTGGGGTTGGGTTGGA